ACTTTTCTGTGCTTTACTTCATTTTTAAACATTGTTTTGAAAGTACGGAAAACAAAATCTTAGTCAGCTTTACAACCAGCCTACAAAGTGCACAGACAAAGGTAACATTCTGCTATTTCTCTTTAGTCCTCCCCTGTTTATATAGTAAGGACTGGAAACTGGTTTCATTGGAGTCAGAGCTCATTTACTCCGATTTCTAAAATTTGTTCTAGTCTTGTGGAGATAGACTATTTTGTGCCTTAGTATGCAGATATTCTATGTTCAAATGTATTCCCTCTTGTCAATGGAATTCAGTTATCCAGATCCAACCTGTTTTCATTTATTTTGTTATTATTTTGTAATTGTTTATTGTCTTCTAGTCCATCTTCTCCTGCCAACTTTCTGCAGTAAAACAGCAGTCAGTCTACTGCTAATCTGGTGAATATCCAGCAAAAATTCTCCATTTCATGAGGATTCCTCACTGGCAACTATTTCTTGAATGATGCCAATTAAAGAATTATAAATCCATACAGTATGTATGTCATTGACAGTGATTAATAAAAAAAGTCAGAAGCCTCATAGTGTGGCTTCAGTTGCCTGGCATCTGTGTGATTTCCTGTGGTTTGAAGACTAGAGGATATTTAAACATTTGGACAACCTTCCTGGTTGTATCATGGATGTGGTGCCTGGGAAGGAAGTTGCACAGGAAGCTCTACTCTGAGACATGGGCAGAGAAGAACCGTCTGAAATTCAACAAAAGCAATTGCAGGGTCCTGCACCCAGGGAGGAATAACCCAGAGCACTACTACAGGCTGAGTGCTGACCTGCTAGAAAGCAACTCTGTGGAGAAAGACCTGGAGGTCCTTGTGAACGACAAGCTGTCCATGAGCCAGCAGTGTGGCCTTATGGACAAGAAGACCAATGGTATCCTGGGGTGCATTAGGGAGAGAATTACCAGCAGGTCAAAGAAGGTGATCCTCAGCCCTAATGAGACTGCACCTGGAGTACTGTGTCCGGTTCTGAGATCCTCAGTACAAGAGAGACATGGAGCTCATGGAGTGGGTCCAGCAGAGGGCAACAAAGATGTTTAGGGACTGGAGCATCTCTTAGGAGGAAAGTGTAAGAGAGTTGGACCTGTTCAATCTTGAGAAGAGATGACTGAGAGGGGACCTCATCAAGCTGTATTTCCTATTTGAGTGGTACAGGGCTGGCACTTTTGTGCAGGATAGATAGAAACCTTATTTCTTATGGTACTACAAACTTCTTGCCTTCAGTGTTGTAGAGGAATTATGAGGTCCTGTGGGTGAAAAACAGAGATTAAAGGCATACCATTAGAGATTGGAGTATGAAAAGTTGGGGCTATACTTTACACTGTATACTGCATGGCCATTTTGTTTTTGCTTTTATCTTTCTCACTGTATCTTGTTTTTCTTTCCAAATTTTCTGTGCCTTTCTATTCTGTCTTCTACCTTTCAGGGTATTTCTATTGCAGCACCTGTGTGTTCAGCCTCTGGCAGCTCCTGAATGTCATTGCTTTGAAGGAACTGAATGTCCTTAATTTTATTTCACCTGTTCTCTCACAGAGGGTGACAGATCACAAATACAGTGAGGGGAAAGAGCAGTATGAACATTACTATGAATGTGAGCACACCATGGCACACTGAGAACAATATTGCCTTTGCTTTGTTAAAAATGTTATTTGTAAATGTAAATTAAAGGGGTCCCTCACACAACAGATTCATTAAATTAGTCTACTGCCTGATGAAAAAACTTTTCTCACTTTGCTTCTTGTTTTTTTCCTTCCATTCCCTAAACCATGTTAAAATGCATAATATACATAAAGGAAGTAAAGGATCTCCAAGACTCGTGTGATGCTGCAAGTGTAACCACAATGGTTCCCCAATTTACTCCTTTCTTTTCAATTGTACTTGGGTTTTTATACCATCCTCACTTCTGTAATGCCATGTTCCATATAGGTTTCTCAATGGAGTGTCTCTTGCCATCTCCTTAATGTCTTTCAAAGGAGTTTTTATTGCTGTTCTTTCTCTTGTCTTTCTACCTGTTTAAGTGGATGCCCCCTGACAAGTCACAGGCAGATGTCATGCTGCTTTCTATTGTGTTGTGGCTCTGCTGAGCTCTAATATGTGCTTTCTCCTTCTAATGTGTGCAAGAAGGTCAGCAAGCACCTGGTCACCTTTCAAGTATCTGCTACAGTCTTTGTCCCCTTTTCTTGCCAGTCTCTCCAGCACTCTTCCTTTTCTAACAGGTTTAAATTTCTGGTTTGAGATTTTGATAAAGATCCTTTTAAAACACGTTTTACTCATTGTGGAATGAAATAAGATCACACTGTGTCAGTGCTGCGTACTTTGCACGGCTATTCCATCTAAAAATTCCGTTGTGGATGTTGTTGGCAGTCTTAATAAAAATTCTGAATGATCTGGGCTACTCAGGTACTAGACCTGGTAGATCAGAGCAGATGCCTACCTTGGAGACTGCCTCAGGTCTTTTAACCAGAAGAAGCAGCAGCTGCGTTTCCTGAAGCTCTCCAATATGTTGTCTGTGCTACTTTTATGATAGGTGGTAAGGATTTATTTATCTGTAGTTGGTGATCTTATTTTTTATTAATCCGAATGAAAAAGGGATCTATTGTTTTCTGCAGCAAAATCTACTGCTGCATCTATTGTGCTACACATCTAGCAAAGATTTTTACATTCCAGTTAGTGACAAAGAGCAGAGAGCTAATATATGAATCCTCTTGAGTTTCTCTTTTAGTTCTTCTTGGCCTATTCTGGAATTTAGCTGGAAAGTACATGAGAATGTTTCACCAAATTTTACTCTGTTGTGAAAAAAAAAACCAACAACAAAGCCATGGAAAAAACTCAAAATATGCAAGATGAGGTCACCCCTCATCTTATTGTACAGTTTGTTCCCGTTGGAAAAATTAAATATGTTAGTTCAGAATTTATCATTATGCCCAAAAAAGAAGTATGTACAGGCTGCTCAAAACCTAAGAGCAAAACATTAAGAAAAAGTCAGAACAGAGATATTTTTGTTATTGAGTTTGTCTTTACAGATTGTAAATTGAAAGGTCAGTATATGTCCCGAGTGTTTTCTCCACCCAAAGAGTGGTTCTGTACAGACATTAGACATATGTATTCTTTTGATATGGGAAGTGGAATCTCCAATATCTTTCCATTATGGAGATTATAGAAGTCTTATCTGTATGTTTTACTTGGCTATGAGCATCACTGCTCTTGAAAAGATATATTTCAATGAAAAAGACTACATCTTGAAACATTTTAGGTGCTTTTATCTTAAGCACTCATGGTAATCATTGCTTTGTATTATTATTTTATTATGTGGCTATTTATCATTTCATATAGAAGATGTTTTTGCAACCGGGTTGCTCTCTGAAAGAGAGCTAGGGAAAAACACACAGAACTTCGTTTCAGAAGAAATCTCATTTCTTAGTCATATACATATGCAGGACCCTTTAGGAACTTAGTGCAATATTTCCCTCTCTCGTCAAATTTTCAGCTATGTGCATTATAAATTTTTTTTTTTTTTGGACATGGAAGCATATATTTCTCATTTTAAGAAAAAGAGGTTTTTTTTAAAAAAATAATTTTTAATTTTATTTTTTGATAGTATCTAGAGGCTGAAATCAGAATTGGGCTTTTGTGGGCTAAATACATAGCCATATTATGACATGATGGATTCTACTTCAAAGAATTAACAATACTAAAGGGAAGATGGGAATCTCAGTTAATTTCAGCTGCAGGGAGAAGCCCTTATTTTAAAAGGTTTCTGAACCATTTCATCTTTTAATGTCCCAGTATTACCTGTCTTATCAGTGATAAATATTTAGCACTTCATACTTTTGCAAAAGGACTTACAGACCTTGCTTTATTCATTTGTATTTTCAGGATGATGGATTATGATATGAGTCCTTCAACATTTGGTGCTGGAACAAACACTGAATCCAACCTTTCTTTTCAATAGAGAGAGAGATGCTGAAGCTAAGCACAAAAGAGCTACACAAACCATTGGTAGGAAACCTATTCATTGTTTAATACTTTGGAGTTATGATTCTCATGTAGAAAAATATTTCTGACCTCAGGGATAAATAATTACTTATGGGAATAAATTTATTGTGTTGGTGTAAAAGAAGAATTACATTCTGGAATTCATACATGTGCCCCCTCCTCCCCCAAAACCAGCAACATTCTGGGCGTTCTTTTTTGTGAACTTTAGGCATGAACCAAAATCGATGACATTGATTTAAAATATAAACTTTTCCTGAACGGTAAGAAAACTTAAAAAAAAAGCCCACATGATAAATAAAGTATATTTTAAATCATTAGATTACACTGTGGAAAGTATTTATAATTAACTGCTGAGGTGCTGCCAGCTTTGTGCTAATTGGACTATCTTACTTCTCCATTACATAGACAAGTGGATGACACACTTCTTAAACCACCCATTCTTGTTGGCAGTAATTGATGTATCCATCGGTATTCGCCCAGCCGAGAATAGAATTTTAAATATCAATGAACCATTCAGCCGTACAAACATCTCTATCACAGTCCTGTTGACAAAAAAGTTGTGTTATAAACTGCGCTTTATAGAATTAAATCTGTAAATATTCCATTCAATGTGTCCCTTTTCTTGTCTTTAAATCAGTGCAAAACAAGAAAAGACAATAACTAAGATACCAATGGTGGCATTGTGTTGGCAAAGCTTAAGCGTTGAACTGCTGCTAAGCAAAGTATTAATCTCATGGTATGTGTGATTCTGTTCCCCAGACACTAGAGGTAGTAGTATTCAGAGAATTCCTCTTCTGGCAAGTAGAAAGTGTTAAAAAATGTTGTGTATTAAACCTTGATTAGCAGTTCCCAAAGTTGAATTTAGTTCCTAGTACTGTCGGTAGCAAGTCAGATGTCTCATACTGAAAAATTCCACAACTGTCAGAAGAGGAGCCACAACTCCTTGTAAATATTTTGTGAAGGAAAATTGCCAGAAAGAGACATCAGATACTACAAAACATGTACCTGCTTCCAAAAAAATATGAAAGAAAAACGGAATGGTGTATACACATGATACCCTTATATTTAGCAAAAGGAGGTAAAACCGAGATTTTTAGCTGAATCAGAAGTATATAGGATAAAGTGGGCATTTGTTCACTGGTAGTAACATCTGAAAACTTTAGTAAACATTTGACCACTAATAAAGGAAATAACAAATACCATGTGGTAAAAACATTCAAGAAATCAACTCTGACATAATGGTCTAATCGTATATTATCTGTTCCATAAGTGCATTCTTATTTCAGTTTCCAACATTACTGGCATTAGCAAGACAAATGTCAGACATAACCACTGTTTGAGTGAGAATCACCTGCAGAGAGGGCTAAATTGAGCCATAGGCATTCAATGAACTCCCAAATTAAAGCCTAAGTTAAATCTGAGTGATACCTAGACTAACCTGCTGAAGGTTGAAGATCAAATATTCTCTAGGGAATAGAGTTACATCACCATACAATTATTTATATGACAGGTTAAATGATAATATTTTAGTAGCAGCTATTGTACATATTATTGTTGTAAGTCAGAATTCAATTATTTAAAAAAAATTCCGTAGGTTTTTTTTTTTAAGGTTAACCTGACTTGGAGATCAGAAACTTTTTGGATTTTGTGTTGGGTGATTGGTTACAGGAATGTTTTATTAATTCTGTATGTCAGAGGTTAAGTTTAGACATTAAGAAAACAATTTTGGGGTTTTTTTTAGGGGAAACTAGTGATTTATTCAGTCCTAAGTATAACAGAACTTTAAAAACCATGCGATGAGATCTCTTCCATTCCTCACTCTTTGCATCTTCTCCATGCAGAAAGCAATGATCTTCTGCATGAGAAGCGCTAAAAATTGCCTCTCAGCAAGGCCATATTTTTATATAACTGAGATGAACTGGGGTCAGAATCAATGTTAATCAGCACTGGCAAAGGAAGTACATCACTGTGAGAAATAAGCTTAAATCCCTCACTGAACTGCATTGGAAAGAAATCAGGTCTTGGAACCAGAATGAATAATCTTCTTGGGGATTTTTTTTGGTATCTTGATCATGAAAACCAGAAAATAACCTCTCCATCCTCCAGAGAGTTATACCTGAATGCTTTTGCAGTTCTTTTTAGTTGTGCATAAGATGCTAAGATTCAGAATTCTCTGGTTGTTACTCTGAAGTAGGACAAATATTCAGGAAAATATTCTGAGAAAGAAAAAAGATAACTGCTTTGTTTTTTATATAAATTCAGATTTCTTTTAATCAGTTGTAGAGTTATGCTCTTCATGTTTGAGTGTGGATTCAGGTAGGCTTGGGCAAATAAAACCATACTCGGATCTGGAACTGTGGATATATAAATGTTTTTCTCAGAGTTTGAAGTTCTGTATCAGAAAAGATCCATTTTGCAGAAGATCCCATATCATATGATGATGCAGTCATATCTCTGGTGTCACATTGCAATTTCTTTATGATCAAAACCAGTATCACAGGTCTTGGGAATTATATCAAGTCCCTGCAGACACAGCATTGTTGAATGTGAGAGCTGGGGGAGAATCCTAGCTGTCATTCCAGAAGAGAAACTCTTCCTTATGTGACCATTTCCTCTCTTGTCTATGGTTGCTGTGGAGGCAATGCAGGGTAATGTGAGGCAATGCTCTTGTGACACCTGAGATTAGGGAATCTCCTAGAGGAAAGAACAAAGAAAAGTTTGCAAAGGTTCTTATTGGAGCTTTCTTTGGAGCCTAAGCAAAAACATGCTGTTGGCCAGACTGACCAAGTACAGCATAGTAGATCTCAAACCATTTCAAGTAGTTGCTTTACTTTTCTGTGTGGTCTGTGTGAAAAATTAAATGGCAAAAGAAAGTTTCTTGTTTTTTGTTCCCCCCCCCCCCCCCCCCCCGAATCTAGTATACTAAGTTAAACTGATGGAAATACCACAAAAAAAAAAAAAAAAAAAAAAAAAAGATATGGCCTATCCCTTTTCTCAGCCTTTCTCTTGCAAAAGATTTATAGCCTGGTATTCTCCATTGCTTATCAGCACAGCTAAACTTGACTAATAGCTACTCTGTTAGGAGAATGTTCAGCTTCCGGCTTGTTGTTGGTGCTCCTTTGTCATGACTTTGTGGTGGAAGAAGAGATGCAAGAATTTTTTAATTTCTTCAGGGACAGAGAGTGATTGAGGTAGTGATTTGGCTTTACCTGAAGGCTGTTGGGGACCAGGAGATCCCCTGTCTGTAGGACTTGGGAGGCCTGTAATGTCTGGTGGGTGGGTAACATCAAGCATATTTGAAAAATGGTGCCATGAGTGGCATACTTAGATCTGGAAAAGAGTGTTACTCCGCTGACTTGGGCATCTCAACCCTCAGGACCCTTAGCAAACATTTTTGTTTACACTTTCCTGCACCATGTGCCCCATTTCATTGGGGTATCTATCCTAGGATGTATGAGATAGGCTCCTAGTTCCTCCTCTTCAGGATTTTCAACTCCTCTCATGCTCCATATTAAGGTATATTCTGAAGCAGGGTGTTCCCACATCTGCTTTTCTTATTTTATGCAGTTCTGAAGAATTCTTCAGGCTGCACTAACATGGAAAGTGGAGGACTTGAGTTACGTGCTCCCAGGAAAAGCAAGAGTCAACATTTCTCAAAATAGGTGAATATTCTGACCACTTGATTATTGGATGAGAAGAGAATACAGTTTTCTGAAGCAGAAGGTAAACAATTTGATGCCAATTCTTACAAGGTTGGAAGAAAGCGCAAGTAGAGAAAAAGAAAGGTGAAAGATTTGACAGGAGCAAAATTAGGTGCTGACATGTCTCTAGGATAAGATGAGAAATTTTGCAAATGCCTGTAGCACCTGATTCTTGACACAGATGCTCACAAAAAACTTTAAGCACAAATTCTTCCTCCAGTGAATCATTATATCTCTGCTAGAATTGATAATATTTTGTGCTTATGGGGTTTACAGTATTTCCTTTTTGACAGGCTTTAATAACTGCCTCTTCCATACCCCCAGGAAACATCAAGAATTATTTATTATAGTCTAGGAAATGCTGAGGCCTGTGGCTGGGAGTCTTAAATGTTTGTATTTATTACTATTTGTCTAGCCACAATATTAATGTTAAAGTACAAAGTAACCAAGAAGTTGCAGACACTGGAGCCCTTAAGATCAATTTACTCAATCAAGGAGACTACGTCCCTGGGCAAAGGGACACTGATTCCTGACCAGCAATTTAATTCCAATTTTGAGGGATGCAGCAGGAATTAATGGATACATAACCTATGTATAAAGGAAGAGATTTCTCCCTGGGTAGCACTTACATTTGCTACACCAAATATTGCAGTTTGTGAAATCCAGCCCTTACGACTCAAATGCAAATATTAATATTTGGGTTTAAATATTTTTCAGTGTTACCTAGCAACAGAAGACACAAGGCTCTCCCATAAAATTTAAAGGCAATCTTTTATACAACTACAACCATTTATAATTCAAAAGTACAAGTTGTAATTAACCATTTAAACTGCAAAATAATTACCTAATACAAGAAATTAAAAAAGAGACAACTGTAGAAAGAAACAAGCCATTAATTGATTGTGAATGCATTTAAGATGGAAATTAATCGAATTTTTTTTTTGTTGTGAGAGAAAAGTAATTCTGGATCAGCTTCCCAACTGAACTGCAGGGACAGCCTGCCTACAGTTTTTTTAAGAGCTTACCAAGATTATGACTCAAATCAAATAGTTTGGGTGCACAAAATAACAGAAGAATGATGTTTTATCTGCTAGAGTTCCTTGTCAAGTCTATAATCTATGTATTTTTTTTCTGTACAAATTCTTTGCACCAATTCATGACTAGAAGAATAATTCAGAATTACACTTGCTAAATAGAGCATTTAGACTAGGCTCTACTAACTAGGTTTCTTTGCAAGACTTGTTGGCTTCATATTGCTTTCAGGAGATTAAATGTCTTCTTTTCTTGTAGAACAATACCTATTTAGTTAGATCTATTCTGCATTTACTGCATTGTATTTTCCTTTTTCTAACTACATCTAAAGAGAATAAATTCTTTCCCTTTGTTCTCCCATTCACAAAGCTTTCAAAAATAGAAAGGAATACCATCAGAAAATGAAATAGAGTTCACCTTCAAAGTACTGCATGTGACTGGAAACAAAATAATTCCATTTCATGGAGTGATGTATTTTCAAAGCTTTTTCTATCTACAGATTTACTGTCATGTCAGAAAAGTAACTTGAAATCTACAACAAGGAAAAAGAGGGAAGATATCAGCACTTCCTTCCCGAACATATTATTACCAAACACCTTGAGTGTCTAGATTATTGGTTCATTGGATGCAGCACAGAGATTTTCTTTAACCTTTGAACTTTTGAGTTTCAGAATGCCTGAATCAGCAAACAGTCCTCTCCAACCACACAAATGTAAATGATACAAGTTTAGAGTAGCTCCTTGGCCTTTAAACCCAACCAGCTCAACGGAGTCTGAGTTTTTCTGAAATACAGATACCTGGATTTGAATCACCATGTATCATACATTGTACCCCTTTGGAAAAATTTGGGCTAGACAAAAAGAGTAAAGGGAAACACTCTTTAATTTTCACTTTCAGGGAGTTCAGTGAATTAGTTATCTAAGTTTATCAGAGGAACTGAGACAACGAATTTATCCATTCTGCTTGACACCTTTAAAACTGCAATTAGAGAACTGACAGTCATTTTGATACCAAGCATCAAACCACACATGCCCCAAATCTTCCCCAAACTTATACTAAGTTGGTAAGATTTGAGATATTCAGGTGCAAAAAAGTGCAGTTTGAAAATGTTCTGTGTAATTCTTGAATTCTTATCAATCTGCAAGTCTATCTAAAACTGTGATTTGTGCTGAATGAAACTTTCACCAACCTCATGTAAAATCCAGTGAAGTTCTTGGGTAGTGAATGCACATAGTGATTGCATCTCCTACTTCTAGTGCTTCCCACTCTAAAATAATTTTAGATAGGTTGGAAAGAGACTTCTATGGTAGGCTGAAACTTTTTAGGTGCTGAGGCCAGTGAAAGGTGGTTGAGGCTTACAGCATTTAGAGAGACCCTGATTACCTTTGTAGATATGACAAGTATGCAAAATTTACATAATTGACTCTATTTTGCTCATTGTAGTTCTCTTTTATTCCTTTGTTTGCAGCTACAAACCCAGCAATCCATTATTCCATGGCATTCACCCTCCTTTGGAGCAAAATCTACCTAAGAGCAGGGCTGGTGACAGTAAAGGTGCTGGTGATTTGAGAGTGGGTCTAAACTACAGTCCAGAGACAGCCTACACATCTCTGGTCACAAGGACACAGTAGCTGGTCTAACATAGTATTTTGGACCAAATAATTCTCAGCCTGGGAAGAGATCTTTCTAGAAGCTGGTCATGACAACTAGATAGGGAAAATTCATAGAGACTGCAGAAGGGACTACATTTCATCCACTACCTTGCGGACTCCAGTAAGACTTAAATGATATAAAGACCTTGAATAGGTTTTTTGCACTGGACTATAGGAGTTGAATGAAATTTTGAAGGCAACATAAAAGTCTTTAAAATACCAAAATAATGGTAAGAACGATTCTGATGGTATAGAACCCTCGCATCTTCATATCTTAAGGGGGATGAGACATTTTCCTTCCATTAAAAAAAAAAAAAGAGAAATTTTCTAAATTATCAGTGGTTGTGAGTTCTTCCTTCAGTTACAAACTGCAGCTTTAGCTTTGTTATTATATATCAGCATGCCATACTCTCCAGTGGTTGAGCTAATATGATATGTGAATTCAGGAAATCAACGTTATGAACAAATAACATGCAACTAATATTTTAAGACACCCTCCAGTAATACTGGCAGAAATAGGCAAGAAACCATGTGTACAACAGGCACCTAAAAATTTTATGTGTACACAGAGATATATAGACATGCATGCCATAGCTGATCTCTGTTTAAAGATATTGTCTGTTATTATGTGCATTTCATGAGAATTTTATAGTAAGACAGTTCAGCCAGAAATTATTCTTGGCACACATGTGCTTAGTACTGTAAATTCAATATAAAATATAGAAAATATCTGCGTTTTTACCAGTCTTTAAAATGAGAGTTTGCTGTGAGTTGTTGTGGCCCATGATCTGGGGAGCATAATAATATGCAGAAGGACTCTGGTATGTCAGCAAGTGCTGAGTTATAGCAGTTGTTCAATAAATTTTTGTAATCCCCAGCTCCCATGCAGAGAAACTGTGATTGGAACAATTGCAGCTGTTTGATATTACTCAGCTGCTACTCCTGGTGTTCATAAACAAATAACATAGTGGTGTCCACAAAAGGCACAACCAGTGAGTGCTGCAACTACAAAACTGTGGGAAAGACTGAGATGCAGGTTGTGTTGGCAGGGGTGAGAGATACAGTGTGCAGCCCAACTGCACTTATTTCCCACTACTGGAAAGTTCCCTTTGCTGGACCTTTCATTTGTCTTTGGCTTGTGTATGTGGCTCAGAAAAGAGGTGAAGAGCATGGGTCAGAGAGTGTCGGGGAGATCCTTGTGATGCAGTGGCCTATGACATGTCCTGCTCTTCTGTGTAAAACAAGGTGGTGGTTTTCTACTGCTTTCAGATGCCTAAACCAGGAACACCTTCTTGCTGTGTTAAAGGTT